TAGTGTATGTATTAATTATTAAATTATTAATTATTGCAATAAATAAATATATCCATGAATAATAATAATAATTACTGTATTAGTTTGGGCCTTAGTAACAACTTCCTTGACACGAGAGGCAAATTTAAGAGTATTAACTGATTCATCTATATTCTCAGAAGATGGAGAAATTGTACAAATGACAGAAATTCTTGCATTCCCAATAAGAGAATTTTGAAGAATTCTTGTTAATTTTGAATCTCTAAAAGGTATGTGTCCACTACAAATATAATTATAATAATTATAAGAGATTTTCTTTAATAAATTTGAAAAAGTATTAAAATTATTAAATTTTTATTTACCCAGAGCCATCGGTCAATTTTGATATAACATTACCAAGGGTCAGTAAACTAAATATCAACATCAATATTATTTGTAATGTAGCAATGTTAATATTATTATCACAGTGGTAACAGTTTTAGTATAAAATATGTTACCTTTTATTTATAAAAGCTCCCTCTTTTCTTCTTTCAACATCACTTGCTGCCTTTTCTGACCCAGCCAAGTCAATTAAATTCTTTTATTCATTTATTATAATACAAATAAAATATATATATTTATATATTTATGTATAATTATTATTATTATTAATAAAATAATTAAATATAAATATAAATATAAAAATATATATATATATAAAATACATATAAAGACATACCAATACAGAAACAGAAACAGACCCTGATGCCTTATGTGAGGATGATGGTGAAAATCGGCGCGGTGTAGAATCTTTTGAAGAACTTTCAACCACCATTCTGAATAGCGTGTGTGAACGGCTGCTTCTTTCATTCCAATTTGTTGAACCTGTATGACGATTTAATTCACCCCGCGAAATCTCCTTCATAACTTCTGAAGGTTTTGTGACTACAACCTCCGAGAGACTAGGAATATGAATGCCATGCTAACCACAAATATAAATAAATCAATAAAAATTATTTTTTAATTAATAATAGACAATGATAAATGACAATATAAATGACAACAATGCTAACAAGTTTGTCCTCGTGAATTTTAAGATCCTTATTAACAGGGGCAAGTAAATCATTTATTTTTTCGTTGTATATTTCCATATATGATACTCTGAGTAGAAATTCTTTTTCATTGTGCTATAAATTATTTTAATAAATTAGGAAATATTTCTTTATAATTCAAAATTAAATAAATTAATTAATAATATTTGCTTACATTTCTGATATATGAAAAAACAGTATCTACGGCTTGCTTAATCACGCCAGGTTGACTCTTGTTACCTTTTCCGAAATGATTATATAATAAGAGAACATAATTAATAGATTATTTATCATATATTAATTCATATAAATGCATATACATATGTATATTAAAATCGATCAATCGATCAATCTAATGTAAATTAAGTATTTACCTGTCTGTTATTTATAATAGTCATGTTAGATATACAACAAAATTTTGAAAATCAAATTAATAA